TTGAACCGAGGTCCCTGTGCTTTGCTAAGCTTGTTTCAAGTAAGTGCTTTAGACCACTGAGCCATCTCTCCAGCCCCTACAATTTTCTTAAAAAAGAAAATTATCGTCATAGTGACGGTGTAGCGATGTGAAAGCTACTTTGATATAATATTAAGCGTGGTCCCATCGGATTCGTAGCTATCATTATGGGGAAAACACACAGGAATAAAATGCCTCTGGTACGTCAAACCACGCCATGACAGCCTCCCCAGGGACAGAGCTCCGCCTCCTAAGACGGCAGTGACCCAAGTGTCACCCAGTGCTGCCTGTGTCTTCTGCCTGGTGCTCTGCAGCCTCTCTCCCCTCAATCCTGTGAGGTGACTTGGGGATGTTTAGGACACTTGAGGTTGGGCTAAGACCCCGGTCCCTGTTTGATCAGTCACAGTGAGCTCGGGCCAGTCAGCCAGCCCTCGCCCCCGCCCCGCCCGGAGACACCAGGTGACCTTGTGAAGCTGCCTGCCTCAGGGGCCCAGGAGCTCTGGGATTGGCTCAGTTTGCTGCTTGGGTTGCAGGAGCCCCAAGGTGAGGCTGATGCATCTCCAAAAACCCAGGCCTGTTCTGGGACATGCTGTCGTGGTGGGACCAGGACTGGACTGGCAAGGGCCCAAGGCTGCCTAGAGCCTGTGCTGGCCGGGAGGTGAGGCCCCGTGGGTGTATTTTATCAGGGACCGGGGTTCCCTCAGAATGTGGCCACTGTCGGGCTCACTGTGCTGCCCATTCCCACTTGGCCTAGGTGGGCTGCTAGCAAGGTGAAGCACCCCTTCCCCTCACGGCGAGGTGCAGGAAGTGCCCCGTGTTGCCCAGGCAGCTGCGGCAGAATGCTTTAGAAAGAATCCAGACCTAAGGGCTCAGAGGGGGGCAGGGGCCTAAAGCAGTCTCTGCCACCAGGTCCCCGTGGCCTGGCCCCCAGCCAACCCTGCCTTGGCCTCAGTCTCCATATCCGTAGTGGGCGCATCCAAGTACAAGGATGCTCCTGCCTTCCTGTTAATGTTTTATTCTCTGCCCACGTTTTGTCTCTTGCACTAACCTTCTGGGTGGGTCTGGTTGGAACCCTGTGGCTGCCGGGGATGCGGGTCCAGCTTTATCCTGAAGCCACAGTGGCACCCTCACTGTTCCTGCAAACTCTCGACACTGGCACAGACCCCCAACCCCAGGCACAACACCTCCTGTGCAGTCAAGTCCTGCTGGGTCAGCTAGCGCACAGGCTGCCCCTTTGCCCAAGAACGACTGCATGTTCTTTGAGTCCCTATCTGCTTCTCCTCTCTGGGGACGAATCCTTTCATCTGTGAGACTTGGGGTCTCAGTGCTCCGTGCTACTCTGCCACCTGCACTGAGTTGGGCCTTCACTTGACCGATCATCGCTGCCATTCCCCTGGCTGATGAGGCTGCGCCTGTCTCCCTTGTTCACTGCTGGTCCCCCACTCTCCCATCTGACATGGAATTGCACTCAGTAGACATGATTGAGTGAGTGAATGAATGAGTGAGTGGATGGATAGACAGGTGGGTGAGCAGATGGATGGATGTGTGAACAGACAGACAGGTGGACAATGGACAGACAGATGGGTGGAGAGATGGATGGGTAGGTGGGTGGGTGGGTGGATGGATGAACAGACAGATGAATGGATGGATGGACAGATGAATGGATGGATGGACAGATGGATGGGCAGATGGTTGGGTGGGTGGATAAATGGATGGATGGATGGACAGGGAGATGATGGACAGATGGATGGGCAGACAGATGATGAGGGATGGGTGGATGGATGTGTAAGTAGACAGGAGAGCCTCAGCCCCTTCTACACCATGCCTAGGTTATCCTGAGGGCAAAGGCCATGTTAGCAGATGTTGTGCCCAGGAAGTGGGTGGCATTTTCTCTCACCTAGACAGGAGGTCAGAGACTCAGTGGAAACCAGAAGACAGTCTGAGCCAACACGGCACCTGAAGAGACTGTCTAGGGAAAGTCTTAGGCCCTGGTGACATACACCTCAGACACACATGCTGTCCGTCCCAAGTCTGGCTCAGTGTGTTTGGTGTTGGTTTCCAGAAGGGCAGGAGCACATTCTTGAGCTCACGCAGCATGGGTCCCCCCTGGTGACAGCGGCTTGGGTGCATTCTGTGAAGGGTGACGCAAGTCCTGTCGAATGCGACTGGGGCACACTGTCTGCATACATCTTCCCCAGCAACAACCGAACGCGCCGCCACTGCTGCCCTTGCTGCCCAGGTCTCACGGACCCCTTCTGCTGGGTCTCATGGCACTTCACTGAAGCGCCCCCTTAAGCTGTTCTTGTTACTCTCTAACACTGTGAGGCCTGCTGGTTCACAGCTGTAATCTCAGCCCTTGAGAGGCGAGGCGGGATGATCACTGAGAATTCAAGGGCAGCCTGGGTACATAGTGAGTTCATGGCCAGCTTGAACTACATAGAGAAACTTGTCTCAAGAAATAAAAGCAGGGCTGGAGAGATGGCTCAGTGGTCTAAAGCACCTACTTGAAACAAGCTTGGCAAAGCACAGGGACCGCGGTTCGATCCCCCAGCACCACATGCCAGC